CGCACATCTCAAGTCTACAGTCACATACGCAAATCTCAATCTACAGTAACATACCGCACATCTCAATGTACAGCTCACATACGGCACATCTCAATCTACAGTCCACCACCTACGCACATACATGCAAAATCTACAGTCACATACACACATTTCAACCTACAGTCTCATACCGACATCTCAACCTTAGGCTACCAGTCACATACGCAGCGTGTATTTTTGTGTGGGTTATTGCCCCAAAATCTAAAACGTTCATCTGGGACAAGATTTTATTCGGTCTAGGAGGTATGCAGGTCCTAGCCTGCGTGATTACATCTCAGTCTACAGTCACATACGTAACACGACGTTACAGTCACACATCTCAATCTACGTTCACATACGTAGCCTCGTAGGCGCCTACATCTACATACAGTTAACACGTTAAAAAACAAACGCGCTAGGCGCTACATGCATACACGTCACATGATGTATGATAGCGGCGTACCAACCATCTCACGCACTTGAACATGGAAAAGCCCGTCTATGACTGATCTACTCACTCAACGCAATGAAAGCTCACATGATTCAACATTGAATGGCACAATAATTACACTAATAACGATATTATGAGTGAGTTATTTAAGATTTATCTGGGCCTGTGTGCCGATTCGCCTGGTCTGTCTGCTTAGATTTGCACAAAATGGCGCCACACATAATGCGTAGATGAGTGGCAGCGACTTACCCGATCCGCAATGCGACGGCGAAGAAACGCAAACAGCAGAAAGATTGGCGATAGAGTATGATACTAGGCCTTTAATTTAATTTAATTTTTTTTTTTTAGGGTTAGGGGTTTGGCCGTTGGTTAGGGTTTATTTTTTTTTAAGTGCCTAGTAGTTCATATCCTAAGTGGCCTAGAGTCATATCATATCGCGCATCTACTGGCGCGGTGCAAGGGAAACCTGTCTGAAATGTTGTTGTCGTTATTTGAAATGTTGCTTTGTTAACGTTGTTCATGGGAAATATAGGCTAGTGACATAGCTTATCGTCTTCGCCACCTGTTGGAAACCCCCAGTAAGAGGAAATTGGACATTCTTACGGCGGCTTTCCGGAGGAGATACGTGAAATTCGCGCGCCCCGCGTTACAGCATTACTATATAGAATATATATAGAAGTAAAGTCACACACGGAACCCGTTAGAAAGAAACAAAGTTAAGGTATAGAATAAGGTGTTAAAATTTAATTGACCGAGCTTTTCCGCGATTACCATCCTTCATCAGCGTCAGCCAGACATTGGAGATAGAATAAATAATCAAAACAATACAATGCGCTTTAGATAATTCAAAAACTGACATGATTCACAACATTCCGCGCGGTTTGCGATGAATACGAACGGACAAAGAACACGCACAATATATATACACGCACAAAACGACACACACAGAGAGACACACACACACACACACAAACACACACACACACACACACACCACACACACACACAACACAAACAAACACACACACACACACCGACACACACACACACAACACACACGAGCAGGAACCACACAACACACACACACACACACACCCCACACAACACACACAAACACACAACGAAGCAATGGACTCAAAATCACACGTAATTAAGAGTTTACTTCATGCCCCTTGATTTAAACACACCCCAGAATTTATTTCTGCTCAGTCATGTGCGACTGAGCTATTGTAAGTATGAGTGTCCGTGTGCACCACACAGCACGCAAGGTCTCAATGTTGGTGATCCGGTTGGTTAAAGGGAGAGTTTACTCTGGTCTAAGCGTTATTTCAGTAATTTAGGTTATATAATTACGCTACATAAAAGTTTCATGGTTCAACACACCATTGAGAAATAGGTTATTAAAAAATGTTTAAAACTACGGGGAAACGCTACAGTTTGCATTTCAACGACGGTGGCGCACTCAAAGCGCCCACGATCTGATGAGCTTGCGGCAAAACGCACTTTTCAGCTTGAGGAGCTCAGACGAGGGTGTTATGCTTATTTATTTAATTTAAAAAGCAAAAGGATTGTAATATCTTATAAACGAGCATATAGTT